AGCGATCAACGGTTGCCCTGCGAGCGATAGACCGACGTACGCATGCACTAAGAAGGATAATCGGTCGATTAGTAGGTCGAGGCTAATCTACTTGGCGTTGAGCTTGGCGGTAGGGTCCATCGTCTTTGCCATCTTCATCTGGTAACTCTTGGCCGGTGCCGATACCGCTACTAGTGCCTGCGCCTTGCGCTTGCCTTGCGATGCCTGTGGTGCCTTGCCCGTCTCCGCCTTGAGCTTCTGGCGCAGCGCGAGGGTGCCCGACTTGTCAACGTGGCGGCCGAGGTACTGGGCCGAAAATCGGTGAACGACAACACCAATGCGCGCATGCATGGCTGAGAGCTGCAGAGCCTTGTGCAATTTGTCACGCAGCTTCGTGTCGTGGAGGAGGCTCTCGTTGAGATCAAACGCCTTGGTCCACGCTTCGTCGAACAGGCGCGGTAGGACGTCGTCGCTTGTTACCGACGAGGCCGTTGCAGCCAGCGACTCGTTCCCGCGCGAGAGCGAGAAGGTCGACCGCACCACAAGCATGAGACGCTGGGCCCACGGCAAAAAGTCGCGGTGGACGAATGCCATACCACCTTTGTTGAGCATCATCAGAGCTTCCGACGTGAATGAGACGACGTCGCCGTCGATCTCGTCGGCGAGCACGCGGATCATCATGAGCGCCTTCATCGTGCGGGTCGTGCGCTGGGCGCTGGCAGAGCTGGCCCTCTTGGCGTCCGGAATGCGATTGATGCGATTTTTGCAGCGGCGGATATGGTTGGCGAGTGCGTAGCCGACAAATCCGTGGACCTCGCGCATCGCCGTGTCGTTGTCTTGGTCGGGTTGTAGTGCCCGTTGCTCTTCCTTGCCACGGAGCCCATCTTCGAGCCATTGCCGCACAATGCGGAAGCAGCAGCGAAATACAATGTGCTGGATGAGCGGTGTGCCCCTGAGCGATTCGGGTAGAGCACTACTCGCTCGGTAGCATGCCGTAGCGCTCGTGGCCCGCGAGAAGCACCGCAGCATCGGACGGCAGACCCAAGCAGTAGCGCACGGGTGGCGGACGCTCGGGCTGCGGCGGTGCGACGAGCTCTGGAGCTCGAGCTTTTGCCGCCATGTTGGCCTTGCTTCGGCATGTCTTGCACACACCCTTCAGCAACTCGTTCGCATTCTTCCGTTTCCCACAGCCACCGACGCACCGATGGTTCTTGGGCGCAGGCTTGGGCGTAGGCGACATGGCAAATGGCAGTGCCACTCTTCGTTTTCCCAGGCATCGATTTCGAGCGTCGGTGATTGAGACGGATATGATAAAATCGTTCTGGAAACGGCCTCGCTTCCGCACACGAGTTCGATGCGATATCCCTGGATATCCCTGAAACCTTTTGAACAGCAGACACTTGTCGCTTTGGTTAAGCTCGTGTCCAAATCTTGGCGCTGGGGTCGAGTGGGCGAGCTCTCAAATCGATATCCGCAGAAGCTCACTCTGGGACCATCGGATTTGGCGATTCGATCCAACTTTTATCCTAAACTGCTTATCGCAGCGCTACGC